GCCCGACTCACCTGTTCATCAGGGCTAGACCGACAAGAAAATGTGAGACTACCAGAATTCCCAAGTCTGGAATTCTACTCAGCTAAGCAATTTTAACCAAATAATGATGCCAGGAGATTAAATTGCACCTTAACTGTGGAAGGATAGTTTTATAATTTTCAGTGATAAGAACTGCCCTCTTATCTCTATGTGCTTTTCTTATAATTAATCACTGTAAGTATTTCTGATATGAATGATATCCATAAAACATATGAAAGCCAAAGGAATCAGAAGACACACTTTGCTATTAAATTTAAATATTGAAGTTTCACTTAAATTTTACTTCAATTCATTGTATTTTAGTGTCTTTGAATTTTTTGAAACATCCTCAGTGTCACAGGGGATGTTTCAAAGGCAAGATTTATAAATCCAAACAAATGTAGAAGCAAACAACTCAGGCCCCTTAAAGTGACTTGCCAAGAGAAATAATCCATTCTCCAGGAAAACCCATCAAATCAGACTCTGCACCCTGAGCCAAGCAGAGAAAAGCCTGACCCTGTTTTTTGATTCCTCAAAATCAAAATCTTGGGGCCATCCTAAGCTGTGTAATGATGGATATTCAAGAAGAGTAAGCATTCCCTTCCTATTTCCATGGGTTTCATCAGCTTGTTTCCATGACTCATAATGGTTTCCTGAAAAAAACTCTCATTTCTTTGATCTCATGGGTCCCATGAGTGCTCCGGAGCCAGGATGCTATTTACTATTGTGCATCCTCAACTGGACTCATAGGTTTACCAGTTAACTCAGTCCCAAAATAAAGTTATGAGTATTCTTCAAAAGGATTTTGTCCAACTTGTTCAGAGGACTTCAGAAGGATGTTCTAAAGATTAAAAATAAAAAGACAAATATTAATCACACAAACATGTTGTTACCTGGTAGTATTACCTGAAGAGAATTAGTGGAAAACAAGTTTAAAACCATTCATCAAAAGTGTGTCTTATAAGAACACTAAAAATCTAGAGTCACTGATTAAGGGCTCTTCCAATCCCATGTTATGCAATGGAGCCTCCATTATATCCAAGAAGACAGTGTGGTAAACAAACTTCTCAGCCCAGGACTCAGGAAACCTAGGGTTTTTTCCAGCCTCTGCCACTACAATATGTTTGGGTTACTCTCCACTTCTGTAAGTGTTCACAGTCCATGATTCTAGTAGAGAGACATAGAAGCTACATGCCGGAGACCAATTCCAGCATGTCATAATTTCAAGAGTTTCATCAAAAGGTTGATGAGACTTGGGGACTGTTGGGAATGGCTGAAGGCATTTCCCCAAACCTGAATAGGATACATTAAATTGATTGTGGCTGCCAGACAGCTAAAAGGCATCTTAATCTACATGTTATTGCCTCCTACTGGCCAAACACCTGAACAGCTGTAGGCTACTCCCCCATTCTGACAATGGACTCTGTACCAAACCCTGACCCTTTGAAGTATATATCTCTGCCTCGCCTCAGGACAAGTTGTGTTAATAAAAAGCATGGGGTCCTGGGGATGACGAAAGAACCTAAGACCTTAGACTTAAGATCTTAGAACTTAGCTCCTTTAGCTAAGCTCCTCTGGCCCCCAATGCCTTTCAAAATTATATTTCGTCTCCAGACTCTTTATTGGTCTCTGGATTCCTATGTCATCTACGCACAGCCTTTTCCAGATTCCTGAATCCTTCTTGATGCTGGGACAAGAACCCTGGCAGGTAGGCCTTAATCATTCACTCAAAAAATAACTATTGAGCATCTATTAAATGCTAGGCAATGTATCCTCTGAATGCAAAATCTTTCCATTATGATCCCAAGTTCCCTGTCAATGCCTCTATCATGTTATTTGGCACTCTATTGGAATTAGGGATTCCCTAATCTGATTCCTCCACTGACTGCATGTTATTTTTGCCAATGAGTAGAAGAATTCCTGGCACAAGCGTTTGGTGAATGAACAAAGGGGAGCTCTTCCTATGCCAGGTTGAGCATCCCAGAATGAGGACCAGAATGAGAAGAATCAGACATAAAAATATCCTGTAATATTCCATTAAAACAATTACATGATTACATTACAGTCTACGTAGAAATTTCTGAGCCAACAGCAGACCCTGATTACACTAAGACCCAACTACTAAGACCAGCCTCTCTCTAGTCCTGAACACAAACATATCCTTGGCACATAGTTTCCAGTTTGATGTATTGAGCCACCTGTGCTGGATCCCTTTGGTTACCTTTTCAGATCTGCCCTCCACTTTCTCCCAACCTGCTGGTACTCTGGGTGGCCAATCTATAGGAACTGCCTCCATCTGGTGTCAGCGTCCCCTGGCTCTGGTTCAGTGTGGCCAGTGGGAAGTACACTGAGTAAAGGGAGAACAGCCAAACTGGGGTATTTATTCTCTCTCTTCATGGCAACCACAGGCTGTTGTGTCCCCTGACCAAAGGTCGCAGTTCCTGTCGGGCAGCCCTCTGCACATACTCCACCTGTGTGTATGTGTGCATGTGTGTCTGTTTCTGTGTGTGTTTCTCCAGGATCCTTTCATCTTAGAGACAGGAGCAGTATCCCCACTTATTAGTCCTATGGTGTCACACTCTCCTTTTTGGTTTTCCTAGTTTAATAAACCATTTATTAAACTCTTCACAAATTATTTAAGTATATCAATGGTTTCCTATTAGGACCTTGACTGCTAACTACCCAAGGATTGTGAAGAATCAATGATCTAGCCTATCACCACCAAGCACAAAAGGATACAACAAATAAATGCTAGTGTCCCTCCTCTTCCCTGTTACAATTTTTATACCACCTACAATGGCTACCAATTTTGCCTTTAACAGAACAGCTACTTAATAAATATTTGTTGAATGAGTGAAAAAAATTTTCTAAGACACCTCTGACCACAGTTTTGAATTCAAATAGATGGGAAGCAATGTACATTAATCTAGATGATCAGATGTTAAATTTAGAGAAGTCTTTAGTTTCAGTAATTGAGGATCAGTGGACAGTTCTTTATAAATTCACATTCTCTCTTTTCTCATGCTCCAACTGAAACAATGATTGGCCCACTGAAATTGTGACTCAACCCCAGGAAACAGTGCCAAGGGATGAGTTGACAGCTCAGAGGCACATGTTGGTTAACAAAGAGATTAGTTTACTGGTTCTTCCATCACCTTGGAGAAACAAGTAATTTTATTTCATGTCATTGAATTCATGTGAGCGGATTTTGCAAGTTCATCACTTTCTATCTCCTACTCTCAAATAGAAACATAGTTTGAAGTATACTTCCTTGGATCTCTTCGCGTTTATAATGAATGAAGTCAAATCGTCAATAAAGCAGAATAATGACTCACCGTGTATACGCGCTGATGGGTCGGGGAAGGCACTTCTAGTTCTGGTATTGGAGAAAGCACCACCTTGACCTGAGTCGAGGGCAGCCTCTGCTTGGCCCCTGCTATTTAAGAAGGAGAACAGTTTTCGTCTCTATTTAATCCACAGCAATGCAAACACAGACACAGTGTTTTCTAATAAAGTAGGAGAACCAAGCCCTCCATCTAGAACAGTGGTTCTCAACCTTGGCTGCACATTAGAATCACCTGAGAATCTTTTTAAATCCTGATTTCTGGGCCTCATCCTCCGGAAATTCTGTTTCTTTGTTATGGGGTGGGGCCACAACATTAGTAACAAAGAAATAAAATTTCCGGAGGATGAGGTCCAGAAATCAGGATTTAAAAAGATTCTCAGGTGATTCTAATGTGCAGCCAAGGTTGAGAACCACTGGTCTAGAAAGAATGTTGGCAGTTTCCACCATTCACTAAATTTCCTGCTTACAACTCTGACACCTTAGACCCATTCCTCTCAACTCTGTTTCTTTCCTTTCATTATTCCTCTGCTCCCACTTTCTGGGGACCAGACCTAAAGCATAGTTGAGAAGGAGCGAACTAGAGAGAAAATGTTTTAAGTACAATGTCAAGTAGCAAGAAAAGAATTTTAGTTTGGAAACTGACTGCAAACATGTCCTTCTATGGTACGTTGTTGAAATGGGTCCTTAAGAAGAATATTAATGACATCCTTTATTTCAGAGACAATTTTACCAAAAAAGCAAAGTTACAAACTAGGTGAATTCTAATCTGTCTTTCTTTACTATGACCATGTGACTCCGTCAAATTCGTCTAATATTATCTTTAGCTGCTTTCAAAGCAGAAGATGAAATGTCATGTCCATGGCATAATGGTATCTCTTTTATTCCACTGGGGTCTGAAGTCTTGCTTTTCTAGTTTTTTATATTGAAACTTAGTCCTACATAGTACATGTGGGTTTTGCTTCACAGATGCCTCTGCTTCTTATACAAAGCCCTGGACATGAATGGAAATGAGGTGACCTATAAAGTAAAGAGAAGCAGATAGTTGCTTCTTAAAAAGAGAAGTCAAAAAGGAGGATTTACATGTAATCAAGAATATGATATTTCTTGTCCATGAAGATGATTAACCCTGGTATAGTTTACCAAAATAGAAATACCATCAACCCTTCTCTGGGAATTTTTATTGTTTTCATTAGAGAAAATTTTCAATAGGAAAAACTTAATTTCTGGATTTAATTTTCTAAATAAATAATACATTTATTAGAGAAAAATTCCAATAGGAAAAACTTAATTTCTGGATTTAATTTTCTAAATAAATAATACATTCATTAGGGAAAATTTTCAATAAGAAAAACAATTTTTGGATTTAATTTTCTAAATAAATAATACAACATTAGAGAAAATTTTCAATAAGAAAAACTTAATTTTTAGATTTAGCTTTCTAAATAAACAATACATTCACATGATTAGAATTTTTTAAACTATAAAAGGATATTCAGTGAAATTTCTCCCTCTTACCCCATATCCTAGACAATCACTTCCCACTGCATCACATACTTCCCTTCCTCTGCCACTGGCAACCAAGGTTATTTGTTTTTTGTGTATTAATAGATGATAAATAAATGGATGGATAGATAGATAGATAGATAGATAGATAGATAGATGATAGATAGACAGATAGATTTATACTTTTATACATATGTATGTTATTTTTGTCACTCTTTACACAATTTGGTAGCCTACTATCCACACATATTTTAGAGATCTTTCCACATTAAGACCTTTCTTATTCCTTTTTACAGCCTCCTGGTATTCCACATAATCCATCTATCACATAGCCTTCTATATAGATTGTGTCTAATCTTTTGACATTGTGAACACACTAGCAATAAACATTGTACATATGTCATTTCTCGCCCATGTAAGTACATCTACAGGACAAATTCCTAGAAATAGAACTACTGGCTCAAAGGGCTTGTACATATTAACTTCAATATCTGTTTACAGACATCCAAGTTGCTTCTGATGCACCTTAACTTACTATGAACTTACTATGCAAATAATTGTTTACACAATTAGGTTAAAGTATCCAAAGAGCCTATTCATGAAACTAAATAATTATTGGAGAAAATGAACAGAGCTCTTCCAATTGGAAAGCCAAGCTGCTCACCAGTTGCTTATTCATTTGGTTTGCTGATATTTTATATTATGGTATAACCATATTTTACTAAGTGAGATCTAAAGTAACTCTCTAGTGGGGCATTACCCTCTGTCTCTTCTAGTGACCAGGGTCATGTAACTGCTATGCTATAGCAAAACTTCTGAAAATTTGATGAAAAGGCAAAAAGTAAGACATGTGTGATTTTAATAACTTCTTCAGAATAGCTGTTAAAGCAGGTGGAACTTCTTTTGTTCTACCCTGGGAAATAGAGCTACTTTTGAATAATATTAATTCAGCAGCACCAGTTAAGGCAGTAGAAGCAGCCAGACATATTTTAAAACTTCACAGAAGTCTTTTTATGAATTTGTCAAATCTCTGAACCAAGCATTTCTTTGACTTTTTTCAGGAACCACAGAAGAGCCTAAAACATTGAAAAGAACCCCAGTTGGAGGTTTGACCTGGCTGAATCTAGTGAATAAAATGGATTTCTAGCAGTAGAAAGTTTGATGAAAAGTAAAACTCCATGCCTTATGTTCCCGGATAAAGCCTCTATCACCCTGCCCATGACAATGTCCAGGGTGCCCTCTGGTCATTATTTTTCAAGATTTCTATCACGTTCAAAAAGTTTTTTGACATCTGGTATCTAACTTCAACTCATCCTTCCAAGGTAACTTTTTATTCCGAGTGTCAGAAACTTGCAAGATGTTCTGTCCACTTTGCTCCTGATGGTTTTCCTGCCAAAGACAAGGTACATCTCCCACAGTGAAGGCACATCTAAAACTTCCTCATCTTACCAGGCTCTCTGAGCTGCTAAGTGAATTTTCCCCATCAGTTTTTTATACTCTTATCTCAAAAACTACTTGTTCAACAATATTTTACTTGATTATTACACTGGAAAACCAAAATAGCTAAAAACAACAACAACAACAAAAACAAGGAGTAGTAAGTAGGGTTAGGTGTCCATGCAAAATATGATCCTCTGTGACCTCTGTTTCCCCAATTGTGAATTTATCCAGTTTTGCTGTAATTGCTTACTTGTCTGCCTTCTTGTGTACAAAGATTGTATTTTATGCAAGAAGCCACCTTAGAGCATGACACGTGATGGGTCTTCAGTAAAGACGCGTTGATCATTTTCCTTAATAAAAGGGTGTGATTAGACGCAGTACAGCAGTCAACTGGGGTGCCACCTAGGAATTTGGGGATAAGACTGCCCTCTGAGAGTTAATCTATCAAATCAACCCACAATCAGAGCAGAAACACACGAAGTCATCTTCAGAAATGACCCCCAGGCCAAAGCCTGTTAAGTGTTAAAAGGGCTTCCCCTAAACTGGGGAAGAAGGCCCCCCAACGTATGTTGGCAGAGGAATCCGCCCTAAGACCTGCCAAACAAGTGTTGACTGTGATTTGACTTCCCAGGTGGTTCTAAGGAGAGAGGACACACGTGTTTGCTCAGAAATGTTTTGGGTCGCGTTTCTCTCACTGGGATTACTCTTTGTGAATTAATACAGTGGCCCTCTGGTTTTCTAAACCTATTGATGTGAGCGGGATTATACAAGGAATCATTCTTTGTGTACTACCTTTGCAGGAGGCTGAGCCCACAGGCCTGAAAGGAGGCACAGGATCAGGTAAATTCACCTACACCAGGCACCTGTGTGGCTTCGTGGCCCGTGGGCTGCAGCAGCCAAGCAGCCTATCCTGGCAGGGCCCTGCCTCACCCCACAGATTTCGTATAAAAGGTCGGCAGTGGTTACTGATCCCTGAACTACTGAGATCATTTCCTTGTGACTTCAGCAAAGCGAGTGCGGCTGCCTTGAGGCTTAACGGAGGAAAAGAAAGGTAAGGGTGAAATGAGGTAATAACGGTGTATTTTGAAGTACTTCGAAAAATAGAAAGCTCTAAGAAGTGCAAAACAGAATATTTTTACCAGCATTTTTTTAAGCCCACTCAGGAGGTCTGCTCAGAATTTAGCAGGGCCCGCATATGTGCTCAACAGGAGAGGGGTAAGGAGAGCTAACCTTGGAAATGATGATCTCAGTGTGTCCCTCTCCTTCGTACTTTGGGAGATTCAACCATGACCCTTCGTGGAGACAGTGGCAATAAATGTCCAAACTGTTACCCACAAAGTACAGTGGGGCCTTGACTTACGAGTGTCCCGACTAACGAGTTTTTTGAGATACCAGCTGTCTCTCGGCCGATTTTTTGCATTGAGTTGATAGAGTAATTTGAGTTAACGAGCTCCTTAACGAGCTCGGTCTCAGGACGAATTAAACTCATAAGTCAAGGCCCCACTGTACTAGGTTTCCTCATAAGAGCTTCTCAAAAAATGCACAGAACTCAAGTTAATCTTAACAGATGACTGTGATCAAGACAGATGTGGAAATTTTCAGATGGTTTAGCAATTCTTATTCTAATCTGGCTTCAAAAAGCCTTCCAGTCTTAATGATTTATCCTTATTGCTATGCAGAACTTTAATACTGCTATACATCATTCTAACCTTTCCGTCACATAAAAACATTGGCACTTTTGTGCAAGCCCAAGATAACTAGTAGCTTTTCAGGGCTAATAGAACCAATTATGGTAACTTAAAATAGATTTCCATTATTCCAGGCACCAACTTCCTACTATGTACAAAGCTTTGTCTGTTATTAATAACAGTGATCTTAAAACTACTCATTTGCTCCAAATCTGGCCAGTGTGAAAATCAAATGAGGATGGACAAATAAATTACTGCAAAATTATCTAGAATTAACAGCTAAAGAGAAAAAAATAGTAATTCAACAGACAGCTGCCAATATTCTGAGCCATTGACTCAGTTTCCGGTTCATTCACACTGCAAATATCCTTAATACTCCAAGGAATGAAACTGATGAAGTGTTTAACCATTTTCCTTTCATTATTTTGAATAGGCGTTATCAAAAGTTATAATTTAGGG